CTAATACTACCTTGGGGAGGAAAAGGTTTATTTGGCTTACATCTCTCAGGTCACAGTTCATCAGAGAGCCCAAGGTAGGAACTCAGGGCAGGAACCTGAAGGCAGGAACTGGAGCCCAGGCCATGGAGGAACACTGCTTACTGGCTTGCTCCCCTGGCCCCTGCTCAGCCTGCTTTCTTATGCAACACAGGCCCACCTGCCCAGGAGAGGCACCACCCACAATGGGCTGGGCCCTCCCACATCACTCAGCAATCAAGAAGGTACCCCATAGACATGGCTACAGGCCAGTCCAACGAAGGCAATTCCCCAATTGAGGCTCACTCAACCCAGGTGTGTCAAATTGACACTAAAGCTATCCAGCACAAATGACCCCTTGTCAACTTGATAAACACATCACTATTAAACCATAACCTTCCCAATTCTTATCCTTAAGATATGATGTTAACATTAATATCACAACATAAGATGGTACAACCTTAAAAGCCCCACAGTCCTTAAAAAATCCAAACACTTAAGTCCATAGTCTCTTTTAAAAGTCTCTTCCCCTTAGAGATAAGAGTTATACAATTTGGGAGTCTTTTAGATAGACCCACTGAAGGGGTACTCCAGTTGCCTCACCCTGCATCCCTGCTCAGCATGGAAAGAAGCCAGAGCGGTCAGCATCCCTATTCCCTATTTGGGAAGTCCCTTCAGAGGATGGTGTGATAAGAAGAGGAGGTAGGAATTGCCTAGGCAGTTAGGGTAAAAAAGACCTCAAAGAAAAGTGGCCAGTTTCTTGGCTAAAAGTCAAAATGTCTTTGGGACTGTTAGCAACATACTCTGTTCCAAAGGCCAAAAATGTCAAAAGTATTTGGGAGCTTGTATCTAATCCTTAAAAGATTTTTTGGGTTACCTCTTCAGAGGGGGGAATGTTAGAGTAACCAAAAGCCCCATAAAAATAAATAAATGAAAGAAGAAAAAAAAAGAAAAAAGAAAAAAGTGATGGGTAGATAAAGGAGGTGTTGGAAGGGAGGGAGTGGGCATGGATTTGATCAAAACACCTTATATGCATGTATGAAATTCCCAATAAAGTTTTGGTAAAAGTTAAAGAAAAAAAGTTTCTTAACTGTGGGTGGGCATCTGTAAAATCCAAAACAAATACTGTCTTATTTCAAAGGGGTAGAAAGCCTCAGGCTCTCTCCATGACCCCTTCAATCCTGGGGTCTTCACTGCAACTGAAGCTGCGCTTTCACCTATGGCCTTTCCTGGCCTCTCAGAGTGCCAAGCCTTGGCTGCTCTTTGTGACCCTTTCACACTTTCAACACCAGAACCATGCAGGAGACTCTTACACATTACCAAGTCCTGCTTCCAGCTTGAGATAGAGGCTTGGGGCTGCTCTGCGTGCTGACCCTGAGGAAATACCTTCCAGAAGACCTCACCACAGTGATGCTGGTCTCTTGTTTTACAGCTGATTTTTCAGCCCCAGCTAACCAGCATCAAGTGTCCCAGTAAAGCAAAGGTTTTACTTCAGGTTCTGGTCTCTTCTTAATCACAGCTGATTCTTCAGCCCCTGTTGACCAGAACCCACAGAGTCTCAATTCAAAATATCACACAAACATCCCTGATAGTCTCTGCTTCCCTTTGACGCTTCACAAGACAGGCCTCCCATTGTTCATAACTCTTTTAGCATCTGTTCCAAGCTCCACAGCAACAAACTTCAAGCACTCAATGGCTTTCCTGTCCAAAATTCTGAATGTTTCCACAATCCTCCTAAAAACACCAAGGTCAGGTCTGTCACAGCAATACCCCAGTCCTGGTACCAATTTCTGTCCCAGTTTGTTTTTTCCCATTGCTGTGATAAAATACTCTGACTAATACTAACTTGGGAAGGAAAAGGTTTATTTCCAGGTCACAGTTCACCAGGGAGCCAAGGTAGGAACTCAGGGCAGGAACCTGGAGGCAGGAGCTAGAGCACAGGCCATGGAGAAATGCTGCTTACTGGTTTGCTCCCTTGGCCCCTGCTCATCCTGCTTTCTTAAGCAACACAGGCACCTGCCCAGGGGTGGCACCACCCAGAGTGGGCTGGGCCCTCCCCCATCACTCAATGATCAAGAAGATGCCCCATGGACATGGCCACAGGCCAGTCCTATGGAGGAAATTCCCCAATTGAGGCGCCCTCTACCCAGGTGTGTCAAGTTGACAACTACAGCTATCTAGCACACCTATGATCATTGTTAACTCGGCCTTAAAACATTTTATTCTCACTCAGACATGGAATATCTACAGAATAATTCAAACAGCATTTCTTATTTCTGAACAGAGAACAAAAAGTACATGTACTTACAGTGAGCAGGAAACATGAAACGGGAGTTAGAAGCCATGAGGGAATAAACTGAAGTGTGTAAGAAGCTGAGAAACTGACTCCCCTTCCTTTAACAGCTACAAGCCTGAGTGAAATGGAGGACACAAGAACAAGGAAAACAAACCAGCAAGTCTGAGAGTCACCAGGAGACAGGGGTCATTTGGAAACGTTTTGGAACCTTTAGGAGGCAGCGCCTCAGTAGAGAAGTGAATTATTGAGGGCAGGCTTTGAGGGCCAAACCCTACTTTCTGTTCATTCTCTATTTCCTGAATGTGGATGCAATATGACCAGTCAGCTTCCTGATCTACCACCATGCCTACCTCTGTGTGTCCCAACCATGGAGGACTGTATCCCTCTAGAACTGTGAGCTGCATCAATCCTTTCTCCCTGAAGTTGCTTTTGTTACAGTGCTTTAATCACAGCAAGGAGAAATAAGACAGCAGGTATGATGTTGATATTGACAACTTGACAGGATCCAGAATCACTAGGAGACAAACTTCTGGATGTGTCTGTAAGGAAGTTTCTAGACTGGGTTAAATAAGTTGGGAAGACCCACTATAAATGCAACACATTCCATGAGCTTGGGTCCCAAACTGAATAAAAAGGAGAAAGAGAGCTGAGTACCAGCACTGATTGCTCTCTGCTTCCTATGGTAACAATGTGACCAGCTGCCTCAGGCTTCTGTTGTCATGCCTTTCCCACCATGATGGACTATACCCTCAAACTATGAGTTAGAGTAAGTTATTTTTGTCATGATTTTCCCTTTTTTTTTTTTGTCTTCTTTTTGAGACAGAGTCTCCCTGTAACCCCAGCTGGCCTGGAACTATGTAGACCAGGCTAGCCTTGAACTCACAGAGATCCACCTGCCTCTGCCTCCCCAGTGCTGGGACTAAAGGCATGTGCCATCATGCCTGGCCATCAGGTATTTTCTTACAGCAATGAAAAATGTGTAAAATCTAGCACAAGTCTTTTAGGACTCCTTCCTGCAGGAGATGGTGGCTTGGAGCCTGATGAATCAGTGATGGTTCTGCCTAGGAAAAGGAGGTTATATCGTCTACTCTTGACCCTTTCTCTTCAGGACTCTGTCAACTAAAATCACAAATGCCATGTTCAGCAATTCTACAATGGTACACACTCACTGGTCATCAGGATCAAGACTCAAAACAATCCCAAAACAACTGATCAAAACTCTGGAAAACCTCACAGAATAAACTGCCTGTGGAATGAAAGCTTACAAAAATCTCAAATACACAAAGGAATCAGTCTGAGTGCCAAACAACAGTTCACACTGAAAAAGAGAGGAGTTAACTGAAGCCAAAGTGTGACTTCATTGTTTAAAGCAGAACACATCAATATGCTAAAACTACATCAAGAGAATGGGGACAACTCAACAGGAGAGATGTTCTCAGGGGCCAGAGGCCTGGAGACATCATACTCTATTCACCAGGGGACAACCAGAGGACAGGACTTTGACCAAAAGGAGCCCTATGGTGACAAGGGAAAGGGCGATAAACCTGGTGAGGAGATAAAAAATGAGCAGCCTGTCATGGGAAGGACAGGAGGTAGAAGCAAAGTTACTGTGTGTAGCTACGGAGACCAGGACAGAGCTAGGGGGTGAATGACGGGGGAATTTTGGCTCAGTTTAAAGAGGCTCATTTAAAAACTCATAACTGTTCTAAGATGGATCAGGCAACTTCACAGCAGCACCCGAGGCCCTTACCACATGCTGGATATTGCACTAAGCAAGTCAGACATCAACACCCAGTCTTCACAGTCATTCCTGGGGCAGTCTGACTGCCACAATTTCCTTACACACAGGAACTCTGATTCTGGGTTTATTGCTGCTGTGTTGTTTCAGACCCGAATCACAGCTCATGTCACCTTCCGGGGCCTCCCTCAGGTCTCTGCCCAGCTCCTAATAGGACCTAGGAGGAAAGAGGCCTTGCTCTATAGGCTTTTCTCAGGATGGCAGTTGAGAGAAATAAAAAAAAAAACCCAGCTACTCCAGGCCACTATATAGTGCAACAGCTCCCGAGGGCTATATGCCACAGGAAGGGGCCAACAGAGCTGTGACTCTGGGGTCCACCCTTCCACATGGATAGAACTGAGGCAAAAGAAGCAGTGGGTCAGGAGTGCAGAGAGATCTCCACATGACAGGAACTAATTCTTTTTTGAAACAGGGTCTCCCTGTAGCCAGCTGTCCTGGAACTAGCTATGTAGACCAGGCTGGCCTCAAACTCACAGAGATCTGCCTGCCTCTGCCTCCCAAGGACAGGACGTGATTCTATACTGGAATGATTCTATACTTCAGTGATTTTCTTTCTAGCACAACAAACTTTGAATACTTAAAAAAAATATGCCAGTAACTGACACCAAACCCCGCTATCAAGGTGTGGCAAAAGTCATAATCCTAGGTAACTGGTTCAAGGCTCCCTCTGGGAAAGACTGGAAACAAAACACACACTCCAAGCCTAAGCCTTGATCACTCTGAACATCAAAGCCTGCTGCTTTCAGGGAAGGTAACCTTAAGTGATTTCTATGCCCTTTCCTAAATTCACCTGGAGACTACCTCTGAGCATCCTGCATCTTCACCTTCCTCCCATAGAGGGGCATTTGGGGACCTCTGTGGTGTTTGGGAACTCCTCGGGGACAGTCTTACCTTCGTATCTGCTCGGAGAATCGCATGCCTTCTGTGGGGTGGCCACTCGAAGGAATATCTGCTGTCTCCATGAATGCCGCCGGGTCTTCACAGGGGTCCCATCTGTGTCACCCAGGTGGTTTGCTTTGGAATCAAAGTCCCTAAAAATGTAAGGCAGTTGATTTATGAGCGATGGGGAGGTGTTAATAGTTTAGTTTTAGGCTGATTTTTTTTTTTTAAAAAAAGCGAATTATTTTTGATTATCTTCATAATTTTAAATATCTACAAAATTTGATAATCACAGAAGTTATATCAAGGTCACAGTGGGTCAGTAATCTTAAAGACCTTCTGTTTTACAGGATACTTTTACAAAAAGAATAAGCTCACACACCCTTTACCATGTCTATTTAAAAGGCACTAAGAAACATGCTCCACAGAGCACACCTTCCAATTGGCCTTTCCTGGTGCTACTCCGAAAAAGAAAAAACTGAAGAAGGGACACTGTCACCAGAGCCCCAATCCATGTGTGGGAATATTTTCTCAACAATCTCCATGATAGCCACAATTATCACAAAAGAGAGGAAGGAAGGAAGGGAGGGAGGGAGGGAGGGAGGGAGGGAGGGAGGAAGGAAGGAAGGAAGGAAGGAAGGAAGGAAGGAAGGAAGGGAGGAAGGAAGTTGCATTAAATAGACCCATCCAGGCGCCAATGACGCTGTCTCTTGCTGATGCTGCTTGCTATACACCTGAAGCGTTAAAATTATAAAGCAAAGTGTAATTGTTAATATAAAATTACTGTCTCCTACTCCCTCTCTTTCCATTCAAAGACTGCATAGGCAGACCCTTGTAATTCATACCCAAGTGAGCACCACAAAGAGGTACCTGGCAGATCATTCACATCACTTATCTAGGACAGGCACAAGCTACTGTCCAGCAACACATCTACATGACTGGTGGAGACTCTTCAATCTTCCGAAGATAACAACATTAATAAACTAACCCTATTCAATACCAGAGGCAGGACACTCATGAAGGAAAAAAAAGCTTCAGAAAGGAAATACAATGGATTTAGCTAAAATATTCTTTCAAAACCCCACAAAAAAACTCACAGTTAAAATATCCCCATATCTAAAAGAAATGCAATACTTATAACATCCGTATTTGATGTATCCAAATTAAGCCCTACCTTTTTGTGTTCATAAAGTCAGAGGTGTTATTTTCATCTACAGGAGCCAGAAATTTTAGAAAATTTGGCACAGAGGAAGAAGAATGAAGTTTTTTCCGCAAGGCGTTACAGTAGGAGACACTAAGAGTTTGGTTGAAAAAAAGAGTTTAGGATAAAGAAATATAAACACACGAAGTACAAAATATAATCTTTAAAAGGTAACATTTTTGCTGTAATGCTAAGAAAAGTAAGTCAGGCATGAAATTAAAAATAGTTCATAAATGAAACTGACTTTATTTTTTAGTCAATAAATTTTTAAGTGAACAAGATCAATGAACTAAATCTTTCTAAAAATCAGTCCATCTTCCACAGGATTCTTCTTTTCAAACTTCCTTTCCAAAACTGGGGAGAAATATGTTTTCTAAACTAATCAGGAAGTTTCTGATATGGCATAAATGACAGTGTATACAAACAGAGCTGTTAGCTTGTACGCATGCATGTGTGTGTGGAGCCACTAAGGTGGAAAGCTGTGAGAATTAAATATATGAAAATCAGTTCACCATTAAGACCTTTCATAATATTTTAAAGAAAATAGTAAAATTAAGTCGATTCAAATGTCAACTGAAAATGATAAGACCAAATAAAACCAAAAGGCCACACACACAAGCAGTGATGCGGGCTTCGTGCACGGACAGGCCCCATGCAGCAGGGCTGGGTCAGTGTGAACTGGGCAGACAGACAACACTGAACTTGCCATGCGAGTGTGCTCACCTTTTCGGCACAGCATTCCCACTTTGTTCTCCACCAGAATTGTGTTTTAGGTACTTAAAGAAGTTTGGTGAGGAGGCAGAGGGATTAAGACGAGGTAGAGGAGGAGCTGAAGGCTGACCTGAGCAGCACTTAGCCTCACCTCCAGGAAGATGGTCCACACTAAACAGCAATCAGAGAGAGCTCGGTTAGAGGGGAGAGGGGACAAGGAGAAAGCATGGGCTTTGACTCAACAGGAACTGGCAGCCAGGGAGCCTCTGTGACTCATCTCTGCTCTCAATTTCAGCAAAATCAGTGCTGGGTTCTTGATCATTTCTATGCTTCCAATAATACTTTTTTCTCTATTTCCTTTCTGAGAACTAACAGGAAAAGTTTTAGAAGTAAAACAAAAACAAAAGAAAATGATCCAAAATTTAGAACACACATTTTCCTTCAAAACAATACCCTGCCTGAATTTCAATGTCCCATTCCCCATAGATTAAGGAGAACAGTTCACAAAACAGAAAGATAGCAAAACAGTCACACAAAAGGCAAACATTTCCCCACACTCCCATCACTGATCCATCACAGTCCAGAAAAAAGTTACATTCTTAGGGGAAAAAGGAAAAGCCGTGGCATTCAGTCCTTCCACCTGAGTCTGATGTGGAACAGGAGACTTGACAGAGAACTTGGGGGTTTTCAGATAGGAATGCTTTCCCCCATCATCAAAAATGAGAAGGGGGGGGAGGGAAAGAGGGAGGCACAGAGAGTAGCGTGTGCACAAGGTATACGAGGTACTGGGAAACCTGTAAGGCTATAGCTAAGCTGTGCTTGTGTCTGAAACGTCAGACTTGTTAAATGGCTCAGGGAAGATGTCACTGCTTCTGAGATCAGTCACCAAGTTCAAGTTCAAAGAAATCATGACAATCTCCAACAAGGGGCTTTGGAAAACAAAGCTGACAGGCTCTGTATGTTTCCAAGACTGTTAGTGCATGTCACTGCTTCCCTCCAAACATGTCAAACACCTCTGCACTGACTCCTTTGGTTGAACAAGGTATGAGCCACATGAACCCAAGTCTTCAGCTTCTGCCGTTACCAGCCAAGGGAAAGCAGCCACCATACACAGGTGTGGCCCCTCCTACTTCACCCTTAGGAGGGAAGGGATTTTAAGAGATTTTTTTAAAGGCTTTTTGGAGAGGTATTGATTTTTTATGGACATGAGTGTTCTGCTGCATGTACATAAGTGCGCCATTTGTGTGCAATGCCCAGAGGCCAGAAGAGGGGGTTGGATATCCTGGAACTGGAGTTATGGATGGTTGTTAGCAGCTGTGTAGATGCTCTTAACCACTGAGTCATCTCTCCAGCCTCTTTTAAAGTTATTTTTAAGGATAATTCTGGGCCCAGTTACAATCTCTAGCACTTAGGGTTAGTCACCAAGAGGCCCTAAGAACAGAGAAACCTGCCACCACACTGCTTATGTAATCTAAAACCAAAAAAGTCTAATTGTTCATTTGAGCCCAATTATTAAAATGAATACATCTGGAGCTGGAGAGACGGCTCAGCAGTTAAGAGCACTGGCTGGTCTTGCAGAGGACCCAGGTTTAATTCTCAGCATCCACATGGCGGCTAACAACCATCCATAACTTGAGTTCCAGGGGACTTGATGCCATCTTCTGATGTCCATGGGCATTGCACAACACGGGTACACTTACATACATGCAGGCAATACACACATACACGTAAAATTAAAAATAATAAGATAACTTTTTAAATGAGTACATCTGAAGAAGAATCTAAAATTCTCACAGTGGAGGATTTCAGAAAGAATCAATTCCAATTTTGTCATACAGAGCCATTCAGCAGATTTGTCCAGGTTACAAATAGCTCAAGATAGTGCCAGGACCTGCACCAGGCTTCTGAGTTCATCATGGGCATCTACAGCAAGTCTCTCCAACACTGCTTGCATGGACACTGTGCCCCTACCCCACCATAGCTCAGTTCTAGTTGCCAAGGGAGGAAATTCCTCTACTCACTCACTTGTCACCTTTGCCAGAACCAGCTCCAAAATCAACAAGTCATGCATTAAGGATTAATCCTACACAACAAGGACCATTTTTGCTCTTATTTACCTCTACATACTTCCTGAGGGAGCCAGGAAGAACATGCCACTATTTCAAATTTTATCTTTTTAGGCCAAGAGTAAAACCTGACTCAGGTTACTCTTTCACCCAAAAAGCACACATCCAGGATTCACATACCTGGCTAGCCACAGACACCCCAGCTATTTGCACAATAAATCTGATGCTTTAAGCAAATCTTACTTTCGTTCATGAGGTGTCTCTGTGCTCACGGAGTGATACCTCATAAGTTTTCTCTGAGAGATCCCCGGAGAGCTCTCAGTGGGTTCTGGAGGCACTGGACACTCCACAGGGAAATGGCTCAGGGTATTCGCTCTCCTTCTGAATGCTTGCTGGGGAGACAGTAGTGCAGACTCTTCTGAAAGGTGGCCCTCCGAGTCACTGGACAGGTCATCCAAAGAGCCAGGGAGCTTGAAGGAGCTCTCAGAGATGGACACGACCTCCTTGTCACCCACGGACAGCTCCTGGTAACACAAAGATGGCAGATTATACATACCACAGGGAATCTGTGGGACGGGTAAGTCTAATCCCAGTGCAGGAAAACATGAAACGATTAGAATGTCATCTAGTGGTCACCAAAAATAAGGATATTAAGGTCCATTAAATACCTGCTTCTCAGAGGCAAGGTGCTAGCTTGCTGAAGAAATGGCGAAACTGCCCAAATGCAAGCTGTAACACTGACTGCTCTGAGCCTTGCCACAGATACCACACTCTGGAGAGTAGGCTCTTTACTGTGCTTACAAGAAAGAAGTAAGCATATAATGTGTGCTGTATAACTACTTTCCACTGTTCAACAACTTCATTACTTTTACCAAGTGTGTTCATGGATATCTACCCACACATCAAGGCCCTCCCTGAACTGATCTAATACCAAAATTTAACTTAATAATCCTGAAGCTAAAAACTATGTCCTATATTCTTCTCAGAGTATGGAAACATTTCTCTAGGCACTTACTGTCACAATTCAGGGCGAATCACTAAATCTTGCTTCATCTCATTTGCCTCATCTATAAGAGTGAAAACTATTTCCTGAATTAACAAGATATGACAACTTGAAGTAGTTTGTACTGTCTAATGCTATACAGATATGTTAGTGTTTCATTAAGCACTCATTTCTTACTGAGTGATCAAACACTGATTAAGAATCCTACCTAGCCAGGCATGCTCACCTTTGGTCCAAGCACTCTTAATCCCAGCACTTGGGCGGCAGAGGGAGGAGAATCTCTGTGAGATTGAAGTCAGCCTAGTCTACATAGTGAGTTCCAGGCCAACTGGGGCTACAGAGAGACCCTGTCTTAAAATTAAAATAAAATAAATGCTACCTAACAAGGTGAGCATGGTGACACATACATATAATCTTAAACTCGGGAGGCAGAGGCCAGAGGATCACAGGTACTAGGACACATAGCAAAGTTAGCCTGAGTTATATTATATAGCAAGGTCATGACAAAAAAAATGGAAAAGAAAGGAAGGAAAAAAAGCAAACATTAAAAACAAAGGCTAGGGGCTGGAGAGACTGCTCAGTGGTTAAGAATACTGGCTGTTCTTAAAGAGGACCCGGGTTCAATTCCCAGCACCCACATGGCCGCTAACAACCCTCTGGAACTCCAGTTCCAGGGAATTTGACATCTTCTGTCCTCCTTGAGCACTGCATGACATAAGTGCACTTACATACATGCATAAACATTCACATAAAAAAATAATAAAATATTTAAAAAATAAATGCTGGGAAGTGTAGAGTAACAAACAAACAAACCCCCCAAAGACTGGGAATATATATAGCTCAGTGCTACAGAAGTTACCTAAATGAGCAAGGCTCAGAGAAGGGAGGGAAGGAAGAACGGAAGAAGACAGGGAGGGAGGGAGGGGAGAGAGGCATTACTACTGTAGTATGACAGGCCTTTTCAAAAGGAACTACAATCACTCATGCAAACCAATGCTCAATACTGTGTCCAGGAAATGGTAATGGCCAGCATTTTTTTAATTAAAAACTATAAATTAAATGAAAGTGGATCAATTTGCCACTACTGAAACTGCTACAAGGGATAAATAATTAACATGGATAAAATGAAAGGGAATGAGTGTATGTAACAGTGGACTGGAAAGTCTGAGAGTCTGAGTCTACCTGTTCACTTGACTCATAAGTGAATGCCTCTTAGAGGATGGATATTGGGGTTTTAAGTTTCAAAGGAAATGAAATTTCTTTATTAAAGAAAGGGATGCTATTTATTTAACTTTGTAGGAATTATGTAGGAAAAGCTTAATTCAACATAAAATGTTGCTTTCATATCTGAAAATTTTCCTTCTTCGAAGCTCTACAGTTCCTCAGCACAATTTCCATACTCTCTTCGGGATTTAATTTGAGAGCATCAGCACCTCTCCCTTCCCCAGGCTTTCCACTGACCATTCTTTTTCTTCCTCTCACCCCTCTGACCTCCAAGCTAACATCTCCCATTCACAGCTCTCAGGGCTCCTGCCACACTCACCCTGATACTGGGGTTACTCGTGCAACTCCTCTCACTCCTATGGACCTACTCTATATTCATTAGGCAAACCATCAGCATAATATTGGCACACTTGAAATGAACTGTGAGGTACAATTAGTGTATGTTAGATGGAGACTGGATGATGCTATGGCCCACTAGATTTTCACTTAGAAAACCCCATGTAGAAGACTAGTGTCTAATGTCTCACTGCACACAGTGAGTCTACATTCCAGCAGCAGTATCACCTGGGTACTTGTCTGATGCTCAGCATTTCAGACTTTACCTAAGTCCACTGAACCCGAATCTGCACATTAACTAGAAGCCCACCACAGATGCAAATCTGAGAAGTGCTCATCTATGGAAATGTGTCTTAAACCATGCTATGCATACTAGTAGGTGATGATTATCAATTTAGTGGCTTGCCAGGAGCCTTTAAAAATTAAGTAACAGTACATATATCCTATTATTCAGAGAATACTTTTAATTCCTTTTCAGTTTGTGTGGGAGAGTATGTTTGTCAACTATATCATAATGTTTACTATTTCTTATTGTTGGTTAGGATCTTTGAAAACCACATGTCTAGGACAGATCTCTGAAGAATTTAAAGCATTTTCTGTGGTAAGGAGCTAGAATCCATAAACTTCCTCATTGTTGCATCAGAGCCCTAGGATGAAGGGAAAGCTGGTCTTCTGGGCCCAAACCCCAAACCCACTTCTCGGCAGTCAAAAGGTTGAACTAACCAGGTTCAGATCTGTGCAAATGTCTAGGAAGCGAGACATGAAAACAAGGGTACACACCAGGTGTGTCTACATACCAGATGTATCAAAACAGAGAACTATCAGTTAAGTCATTATAGCTGTGCTCAATGGAAGACAATGGGAATAAGGTTTAGCTACTTCTTTAAACCACCATGGTAATTTACAGCAGGGGGTCAGCTAGAGGATACAGTCTCAGGAATTTAACTGCACAGTTCTCTGAACTCACAACCCTCATTTTGAAGTTCTCTCAATTTTAGTTTATTTCTGTTATTGCAAAATCACTTGGGTAAGAAACCCATTAATTTTTACTGTTACAAATTGGGCCCTATTTGTCTAAAATTGTGGTCTTGATTCTTTGTTTATGGAACAGCTATTTGCTTATTTATGTAACACTTTTATCCCATGATAAAAATCACATGACTAGCTCTCCATTTGTGCAGAGAAGCTAGAAAGCACTAAGCGTTTTATAACTGAAGGGATGAGTTTTTTGGGTTTTCTGACAGAGCCCTATAGACAGAAATCCGTAAGCCCTGTGAGCTGGTTTCTTAAGGTGTTGCTAAAAGAGAAATGTGCTTACTTTGCTGGTGTTACTTAGAGTACTAGACATGGAGCTGTCCAGGTCCATGCTGGCAGAATGTTCCTGCAGGCCTCTGGCTTTATTACCCTACATAAAGAAAAGGTAGGTAAGATACGGCCCCAAAATTGTAAAGGCATCAGCTGGAGAGGGGCTGGTCTATTTTAAAAAACTCAGAAAAAATGAACTTACTGGGAAATACTGCTAAGCATACATGTGCATTAAGACCATCACATTTCTTTCTGTCAGTTTTTTAAGTACCATGCAAACCTAAGTGTTCCACAAGGCCATGAAGAACAGTCATTTGGCAGGAAAGATAGAGGAAGAAGACCCAAATGGTCTACAAAGAAAAGCAGGTGCTCCCGTAAGCACACTCAACAGCTCTTTCCGAAGTCAAAAGTTGTTATCGCCAGTCACCTGCATGTCGCTCAATCAACCTGTATCCCTTTGGGAACTCTCAAAGGCAAGCCCTTCCAACCCTGGTTTTGTAATGGGACTGTTTGTGATTATCTTAGGTGATGCTGTAATCATCAAAAAAAAAGTTTTAAACTGGCTTAATAAAGTCTCTGTTTCAAAGGGAACATATATAAAACTACAAAGAACTCTGATATTGCAAGCTCCAGAAAAGTGTAAAACTTGGGCAGAAAAATCAAATGCTGCTTTCTTTAAAAAAAAATTTTTTTTAATTTATTATTACTATTATTTTTATGTGTATGTGTATATTGCCTGCATGTATGTAAGTGTACCCGTGTCGGGCAATGCCCATGGAGGACAGAAGAGGCTGTCAGATCCCCTGGAACTTGAGTTACGGACAATTGTTAGCTGTCATGTGGGTACTGGGATTCGAACCCAGGTCTTCTGCAAGAACAGTGTTCTTAACTGCTGAGCCATCTCTCCAGCCCCATATGTTGCTTTCTTAGAAGTGACATCAAAGGTGTCCACACTCCTGGAATGGGAGGTGTGATTCCTTAAAGAGCTCCTAGACCACTGTACAGTGTCCTCAGTTCTGACCTATAGAGTACTATTTAGCATATGTATTCTATAAAGGTCCTGATAGTAAATATTTTATAGCTTGCAACTCATGTGTATCTATGACAAGCAATCATTCTGTACAAAAGTAGCCTTAGATAACAGGTATATGAATGAATGCTACTATGTTTCAATAAAACTAGTTACAGAAACAAGAGGTTGGTAGGATTAGGTCCATGGGTCAGGTATTTTATGAATCTCTGCTTATAGAGGCATTCCAGACACCTAACAAAAGCAGTAGACAGTAATTGTCTTTGAAGCTGTCCCTAGTGACATCAGGGAGGACAGAATCTACAATTGGCAGATCTAGACTATGTTCTTTATAGACAACAAGAATAACATTATTGAAAGGAAGGGAAAAAAATCCCATAAGGTAGACAACAAAGGAGTGAAACCTCCCAGCATTCAGGAGGCTAAAGCAGGAGAACAAAAGTTTGAGATTAGGGCTGGAGAGATGGTTCAAGTGGTTAAGAACACTGGTTGTTCTTGCAGAAGACCTGGGTTCAAATCCCAGCACCCACATGGCAGCTAACAACTGTCTGTAACTCCAGTCCCAGGGTATCCAACAGCCTCTCTGACTTTTGTGGGCATTGCACGACACAGGTGCACTTACCTACATGCAGGCAATATGTGCATACACATAAAATAAAAATAATAAAGTAAAAAAGAAAGTAAAATGTAGATATTGTTCTAAGTCTGATGAGACAAAGAATTATGCACTTTTATATTTGATGATGAACACTGGTACAATAAAAGCGTAGAACTGATTCTTATGCTCCCTTAAAAATGATTTTAATGTAAATCAGAAGAAATGATGCTACTTACCCGGGACAAAATGCTTTCTAACGATTCTGTTAAAGATCTTTTTGCTTTGTTTTTCAGCATATCTAACCTAAACCGAGTAGCACTGGGTGGTAGTTCATTCCCAATATTCTCTGCTGCCATCTGAGATGCCTAAAAAAGAAAACCAATAAAAAGGTTAGTTAAAGCTTTCTCCCTTCCTGTGTAAGAGAATGAATGACCTCTGAGATCCCATCTTTCTGAAAGCAGGCTGTCACCTGACTCTGCCTGGGATCCCATCTGCTCCTTAGAGACACGGCTCCAAATCTAATGACCAATTCTGCCTCAATGGGTTTCTTTGGCTATCTTAAACAATATGAGAAATTGTGATCTGAATCCAATCAGCTAGCTTAGAACTCAGGCTATGCAACTGGACTAGAAACCTGCCCTTTACTAACTGCGGCCTTTGCAAGTTTCTCACTTTCTCTGAGCTCAGATATACTGTTGGGACCAACAATAATCTACTCATAACACTGTTATAAGACTAAAACAGGTTAAAAGCAAAGTACTAAGCATAGTATCTGGCATGAAGTCAGCTATTGCCAGTCTTCCAAAACAAAGCAGCAACTTACCTTTGAGGGTATTTCAAAGACTAAGATTTAAAACTAAAATTGTCAACTGAGGAATCTATTCTTTTCACATTAAACTCTTTACCCCTTTCTATAATCTCTTGCTCTCTCCCCGCCTCCCTCTCTCCCTTCACCCCGCTTGTCCCTCCCCCTCCTATTATTTCATGATCCCTTTCTTTCTCCTCTGAAACCACAGTTCTCTCTCTCCACTATGCATAATATGAAGCTAACAGCACAGCAGAGCTTGACAGTCACTACATATTTGATGCTACTTGCTAACAATGAGGTATGATTCCAGAAATTACCCCCCAAAAATCTGCAAGTTAAGTTGCTTATATAGATTCTCACCTGACTGCTTCCTGTGAGATAATGATTTTGACAGAAAAAGACAAGCAAGCCAATTCCCCACCACTCTAAATGCCAACACATTCTTTGCTGTAGTTGCTACGTATTTCAAGCATGCAGAAATGTGTAGTGGCTAACACAACCAATACCTTGGCCTACTCACGTCAGCACTGCCAGGAGTTGAGGACAGAGAGGAGGCCGGTGTTCTAGAACTAATGCCTGGATGAACTGCCTCTCTGCTGGTCCCTAGCTATGTGATTACCTGCTGTCCCTCTCAGTTCCTCTACCTTCAGACAACTGTCTTCCCTGAGCTTTCATGAGACTTAAATGGTACACATTCCAACACTTAGAGCATAATGTATACTCCAGGAATACCACTTATCACTACTAGCTATTCTGTTTTCTACTGTCAGTAGGAAACATTATACTTCTTTGAAGCCTCCTCACCAACCCGACCCCACTGTGTAACACTTCTGAATTTGGTGCTTGTCACATCAAATCATGTTTGGTATTTTTATTTATATGTACCCATAAAACATATTCTGGCTAACATGCGGTAGAAACTAGATAAAAGATGGTGCAGCTGATGGGATGTGACCTAGTGAAGCCACTATATGAAGTGTGAATGGAGGATCCGCAAAAAGCTAAAAATGGAACTGCCAGATGGCCCAGCTATACCACGTTTGAGTATGTATTTAAAGGATTCTAAGTCTGCATACACAGACATAGTGTCATATCCATGTTTACTGAGGCACTATTCATAGCAAGGCATGGAATCAGCTCAGATGCCCATTGACAGATGAAGAGATAGAGAAAATGTAGTACATACACACAATGGAGTGCTTTTTAAAAAATATTTTCTTTTTTAAAAGTTTTTTATTTGTTTATGTGTATGAGTGTGATGTCTGCATGTGTATAAATGCACCTGTGTCGTGCAATGCCCTCAGATGCCAGAAGAGGGTGTTGGGTCCTCTAGAACTAGAGTTCTGGTCAATTGTTAACTGCCATGTGGGTGCTGGGATTTGAACCTGTCTTCTTCAGGAGCAGCCAGTGCTCTGAACCACTGAGCCATTTTACCAGCCACACAATGCAGTTTTATTCAGCCATATAAAAGAGCAAAATGTCATTTTGAAGGAAATGGATGGAATTAATACTGGAAACAATTAGTTAAGCAAAATAAGCCAGACTCAGAAAAGCAAATGGGGGGGTGCTCAATTAAAGGTGTCAGGCTGTACAAACTTTCTGCCATTATCTTTCCCCTATTAACATTGCTTTTGAGATTTGCACATGCTGACACATGATTTGGGTCACTCACTTCAGCCAGTGCGTGGTATCATACTGTATAACCAATCTACTGTTCCTGCCGTTAAATATTTATTGCCTTTTTCTGCTTTTATGAAGAAGGCTGCAGTGACCTCCTTTGTGCAGAGCTCTTAAAGCACTCACATGAAAGGTTTTGCAAGGAAACTAACGGGGACACCCTGGCTGGGCCATTCCCCATGCACCTACAACTACACCAGCTATCACCACATTTCTATCCCAGCAATGGTTCTGACCCAGTTTTCACATCCGCATGCGAGTGCACTTTTATAGGCCACTATCAGGATTCTTACATGTCTACCAAGTTGATGGATAAAGAATGTTCTTTAATTATGCCTTCCTAATTCCTACTGCTATTACGTTTTTTTTTTAATTCAACAATCTACTGTTCATAGACTCTACAACTTCTTTGGCATAATGAGATCCTAATTCACTGATGAAAATTATACACCTTTTCAAGGCTGTGTACTTCTTTTCAAAGAAATCAGATAAGAGCTACTTTCTGATGAGAGCTACATAATTGTCCACTTTTGCCCAATTTTATTCCTGAAAGAATGAGAATGTACATGAAAAGAATAGCTTAAATTTGTCATCAGGAAGGGACACTAACATTTACCTCTATGTTCTTGTAGATACTCAGTATACTGGACATGCAATGCTTGCTCAAGAGGCTGGATGAGCAGTGGCCATAGGGCAGCCCATAGGGAAAACATATCTGATGCAACAGAGACTCTAGACAAATACCACCCCCCCAAGAGTCTGCTACACATTATTCCCTCTAGGTTAATGCATTACTGGATGCCACTGGTTCAGGCAATCATTTGACAAGGATAAGAGCTCAGGGAAATCTTCAGGGTGAAGAGACATCCACAGAGGGACCTGCAAAGTTAAGGTACTGCAGCCAGGAGTGGTGCCTGCCTTTAATCCTAGCAGTTGGGGGCACAGGCAGAGAGATCTCTGTGAGATCAAGGCCAACCTGGTCTACATAGCAAGTTCCAAGGTGGAGCTACAGGAGGCCCTGTCTCAAAAAAAAAAAAAAAAAAAAAGCTAAGATGCTATAGAACTTTCACACTGATAAGGCATTTGTAAAACAGAAGTGAATTGGACAGTTTTGACAGGCAAAGAAAATACTGACTAAAAGACAAAAAGCTGTAGGAGTTGATGGCTCCTGTGTGGACAAAAGACAAAGTCTACATCTGTGTTTGTTTGTTTTTACATTTTTAAAAACAATTTATTTATTGTTTTTATTTTATGTGTATGCATGTATTGCCTGCATGCAGGTTAAGTGCACCTGTATCATGGAATGCCCACAGAGGTCAGAAGAGGCTGTTGGATCCCCTGGGACTGGAGTTATAGACAGTTGTTAGTGTGGGTGCTGGGATTCAAATCCGGGTCTTCTGTAAGAACAACCAGTGTTCTTAACTGCCGAGCCAGCTCTCCAGCCCGTGTCTGTGTTTTAAAGCAGGCCCGAAAACCCTCTGCACACAAACACAATGCTTCTCCCATTCCCCTCTATTTCTCTCTCTTTTTTTTTTGAGGGGGAGGTATTTGGGGTTTTGTTTTTGTTGTAGCCACAGCTGGCCTGAAACTCACTAAGTAAATCAGGCTGATGTCATCTCAAAGAGCTCCATCCCCCTGCCTCTGCCTCCTGAGTGCTGGGATTAAATGCTTGCACCACTACACCCGGCCTTCCCCTCTATTTCTAAAAAGACTCTATGTCCAGTGCCATAACTCAAATATAATTTGTAGACAACATGAATTTAGAATTCATATTTAGAAAATAATATGTTCCTATTGTCTTAAACATCGAGAAGTTCCTTCTCTGAAGATGATGCTGGATCTTAGATGATGATTTCTGGTTTAGTGGCTCTGCAATAAATTCTGCTGAAGTCAACACACTGGCCATCCACTGACAGAGAAATGAAGTGTCACAGTAATCAACCAGTCAAACACAGCCCTGAATTCTAGTTAATGAGATACATGCTAAAGTATTTAAACAGTTTTTCAGAAGCATATTTTGATAGGTGTCAAAAAAGATGAATTAATAGAAGGGAAGACACATGACAAAGCAAATTTAACAAAACACTAAAAACTACACAATTTGGATGGTAAGGGGGAAATAAGTGCTCGTGATATACTTTCAATTTCTTTATACACCTGAAACATTTTTTTTTAACTTTTACAAAAACTTTATTGAGAATTTCATTCATGCACATGAAGCGTTTTGATCAAATCCATACCCACTCCCTCCCCTCCAACATTCCCCCCCTCTGAAAAGGTAACCCTAAAATCTTTTAAGGATTAGATACAAGCTCCCAAATACTTTTGACATTTTTGGCCTTTGGAACAGAGTATGTTGCTAACAGGCCCAAGGACATTTTGACTTTTAGCCCAGAAACTCGCCACATTTCTTTGGGATCTTTTTACCCTAACTGCCTAGCCAATTCCTATCTCCTATTCTTATCACACCATCCTCTGAAGGGGTTACCCAAATTGCCAATAGGGAATAGGGACTCCGACCACTCTGGCTTCTTCCATGCTGAACAGGGACGCAGGGTGAGGCAACTGGAGTACCCCTTCAGTGGGTCTATCTAAAAGACTCCCAAATTGCATAACTCTTGTCTCTAAGGGGAAAAGAAAGTCCTTGAATCATGACTAGGAGATGTGAAGAAGTGAAGTGTAAGGCAAGAGTAATTAGCATTACAAGTTCTAGACAGGGAACTAGAAAACAGAACAGGGCAATTTTCAAATGCTCATATGAGAGTCCACTGGAGTCTGAAACTTTTTCTTAATAAAATGTCAAAACAAATGGAAGAAAAAATTTTAGTTGACAACAAACCCAGGGTAATCCATAAATATTACAGCACTAAATTTTGTTAAGCCCCTTAAATTATGATTTAAAGTATATACTTGGACCTCACTTGCAAACTCCTTGGCATCTGTACCTGTTTCCTCTACTCTAAAATGAGTAATTAATTACCCAACTCAAAATATGCTGTTGTAGCCAGGTATAGTGTGGCACATGCCTGTCATCCTAGTACTCAGGAGGCAAAGGTAATACCGTAACAAGTTCAAGATCAGCCTGTTCCACACAGCAAATTCCAGGCTAGCCAGGACTACATAGCAAGACTCTGTCTTTAAAAGCATAATAAATGCTGTTGAAAACTGAATGGAATAATGCATTAAGGAGTTAGAACTGTATCAGTACATGGCAAACTTACTAAATGGCAATGGGCTTAATTTTTGAAGAAAATCTGAAGTATAAATGATATGCCCATTGACTAAAACAGGACATCCTGTAACTATATATATAGACACACACACACACACTCACCATCTGTCTCTAACTGGAACTTAACTTATAGGTTTTACCCCAAACTGATTTCTTTTCTCCAAGATTGGAGGATTTATTCACTATTTGGTGGACTAACTGCTAAGCATCGATTTCTCGGCTCTCAGTACTCTCTTTCCTAGGAGTCACTGACTTGACTCATGGTCCTCTGCTCACTTTTGAAGGCTGGTGGCCAGAGAAGTCCTTGTCAAAGTTGTGGTTCTGCCTGTCCAAGTGACATCGTAACACATTTCTCAAAGAATGTAAGCATTTTTAAGTGCCATTAAAAGGCAATTAAATCCACGTGGCTAACTATCTGACAGAAATGTTGAGTGAGCCATCTATCGGTATCTTCTCTAAGAAAATGTGAGTGGAATCTGCCCATCTATCAGTCTCTCTATAAGGCAGCTGTGCTGTGGCTCCTGAGGCTGGGGAGTTGCAACTGGAGCTGGGGATCAGAGCAAATTCTTTAAGATTTTATTTTATTTTTAGTTATTTTTATGGGGAAAGGGGAATATGTGCACATAAGTGCAGGTTCTTGAGGCCAGAACAGAGTGTCAGGTCCCCTGGAGCTAGAGTTATTAAGTGGTCGTGAGTCACTCAGTATGGGTGCTAGGATAGGAACGCGGGTCCTGTGCAAGAGCAGTATACACTCTTAACTGCTGAGCCATCTCTCCAGTATCCAAAGCTAATCCTTTATAGATACAAGCCTCCAGGGTCATAGGACAGTTAGAAAACCTCTAGTGAACATCTACTGTAGATGCTAGTCCTGACTGTGAGGTTCAAGTTCTTCCACATGAAAGTCTCTGATGTTTGAAAAACAGAAATAAATTAAATATATTTCTTCATGGGTCTGATCTACACCTAAATCATAAAAGATTATTACCTTGAGTTCATAAAAATGAGTTTGCACTTAGGTCAAAACTTTCCATCCACTCTAAGTGGATTCGCTTTTCTGGCAGTCATGAGCTATTTCAAAATTACCTATTTCCTGTTAGAACATGTCAGACTGACTCAGAAAAAAATGATCAGAAAAAGAGAAAAGCTATTAGCAGGACAAGGGAGGAAAAAGGATAGGTACGAAATGGGAATATAAATAGGGTGAGGCAAACTAAAAAATTCAACAGACTCCTAGATTAGGTAGGACCATTCACCAGTAAACCTCAAGACTGCATTACAGGAACAGGCTAGGAAGGGATGAATGGCAGCAGACCAAGGCCCAAAGTCAAGGGCAACAGCTGGTGTTCTGGGGTCAGGCCACTGTTCCAGGCTCTAGGCTGGCCAATGAGATAGCAAAGCAATGTCAGACACCATACAAGAACCCTAAAAGTTCAGGAAAGGCACCTGGTTGCCAAAGCCAACTGGAAAGTAGAAATCAAATGAGGGGAGTTGCTAAGCGTGTGTCCAATTAAAAAGAGCACTACGCCTGGGTGTGGTGGCGCATGCCTTTAATCCCAGCACTTGGGAGGCAGAGGCAGGAGGATCTCTGAGTTCAAGGCCAGCCTGGCCTATATAATGAGTTCCAGGTCAACTGGGGCTATAGGGAGACCCTGTCTCAAAAAGACCAAAAAAAGAGCACTACGTTCAGGTCACCAGAAAGAAAAGTGCCTGTGGGCAACAGTGTAAGGGAACGCAACTGTGAGCACTCCTGAACTCACATACCGTCTTCCTTGAATTTGGAAGGTGTTTAAAAATATAGGAAGTGATGCGTCTGGAGAGATGGTCCAGTGGTTAAGAGCACTGGCTACTCTTATAGAGGATCCAGATCCAATTCCCAGCACCCACGTGGTGACTAACAACCATCTGCAACTCCAGTTCCAGGGGAATCCAACACTCTCTTTTGACCTTTGAGGGCGCTGCATGACACAGGTGCGCTAACACTCATGCAAGCAAAACATTCATACACATAAAATAAAAATGACAAATAAAATATTTTTTAAAGTATATAAGGAAGTGAACTTTTAGAAAACTTTTAGAAAAGAACTTGGCCACTCTTGACTGATTTTTATTTCCCCTCTAGATTTTCTGGACTAGTAACCAGCAAATAAAAAATGTTCATTACTAATGAACTGATATGGGGTCAAGAGGCAACAGGGAAGTGATTCGTGGCACATGTGTGTTGAACCCCAAACTTAAAGACCTTGAAGGCAGAGACTGTGGAGACTGGTAGCTCCAGCTTCTAGCATGGCACCCCACAGCAACAATGCTAAAGACGGTTTGTGGACAGTAACAGACAGGAGACTGCACCTAGTTCATCAAAACGGCAGAATTAAAGGGATTTCTATGACTAACATGTAGCTAGGCTTTCTGACACTACACCTGACTTGTCAGTAACACTATCTTACATTTATATGCTATAAGAAACTTGCAGCTACTCTATGTAACTCCAAAGCCATCTGAACACTATCTCTCCCATTTTTTAAAGGAGAAGGGTGAGGTGATGAAGATCAGCCTCCCAAAGTCACAGTTTGTCACAACAGTCCCTATCAGGTCAGAGTCATGGTTTCAACCCACTATGACACACACAGAAATTTCTCTCATCATTTTTAACCACAACCAACACTTCCCAAGTTTCCACAATTATGTGCAACAAATGAAAATAATATAGGGAGAAAAGGGGGCTTACACATATCAGAAAATGCCAAGACTGCATAGACAGTGTCTTTGTAAACTTTCAAGGAGATTAAAAAGGAAAGTGCCATACCTGCTTCACCTCCCCAATGTGGGTGTGTTCTTTTTGTTTCTCTTCATATAAACATCTCAGAAAAGAAATAATTAATTCATTCTCTCGCTGCTCATTTCTTGGTCTCAATTTCTTCAGGAAAAAAAAAAATAAGGAACAAGATATATATCACATTTACTTTTTTACTTTTTAAAACATTTTTATTGAGTTTTTGCAAATTTTGTGCAATAGATTTCAATCACATCTAGATCTCCTCCCCCATCTGTGCCCATTGGATTTCATAAGCTCTGTCTTATATATTAAGGAATATTAAGTCAAATTTGTCCCCAAATGCCCTTTTGGTGCGTCCATCCACTGGAGCCTGCTTAACCTATCCAGCATCATGTCCTTAAAGAACACCAACTCTCATTCTCTCTGCAGCTATAGGCTGCCAATAGTCCCTCAACCAACATTCTGGCTTCTTAGCCACTCCCCACTTCTATACTAGGATTTTGTCTGGCTTGAGCTTAGATGGGATACGTGCATGCTGCCAGCATTGCTGTGAGTTCATATGAGTACTTGGCCAGCTGTCTGGAAAACTTTCCTTGTGGTCATCCACCACCTCTGGCTCACAATCTTTCCATCCCCTCTTCTGCAATGGTCCTGAGTCCTGGATGGCAGAGGTTTGATACAGGTGTCCTATTCAGGGATAAGCACTCTCCTATTCTCTGCACCTAGGCCAATAATCCATCCCTTTCAAAGTGCTCAGTTTCTCTCACCACTAGTGCTTTTACCCAATGATCTCACTAGGGGGCACTAGTGATCCTAAGAGTGAAGGGAATTTAAAAAGGACAACAGAGCCACTGGGCCAGATGTAGCAGCTGATCGCTGATGCTCTTTCATTCAAGATAAATTTTTAACATCAGATAGTAACAGTCAAAATATTTAATAAATAAAAAGCTTTTAAAAAGAGAACAAACAAAATCTATGTAAACACCCAGAGGTCAGGCACCAAAATGACTACACATTCATAATCTCTTTAAGGTTAGGGCAAAGCAGCTGGGTTCAGGGTCAAGGTGTCACATGTCTAAGGGACTCTGGCATTCCCAGGAGGCAGGCACTTCCTTGTAAAACTACAGGGTATGTTCTCAGGCTAGCCTCCCCTGCCCTTCCCTTCCCTTCCCTCCTCTTCTCTCTCCATCTCTCCCTCCAGTCCCTTCTCCCCTTTCTTTAAATTCTCTCTAGGACTTTGAAATTTGTAGGCAGTGGCAAAGAGCACTGGTCTAGGAATAAGGACACATAGGTTCCAGTTGCTGACAGAAGCCAAGTCAGTCCATCTTAGCTTCCCCCAAGGTGTGGTGTCCCATGCTTTTAATCCCAGCACTCCAGGATGCAGAGGCAGGCAGATCTCTGTGAGACTGAATTCGGTCTGGTCTACATAGCGAGCTCTAGGCTAGCTGGGGTTACAGGGAGACTCTGTTTAAAAAAAATGGGGGCTAGAGAGATGGCTCACTTGCAGAGGACCCGGGTTCAAATCCTAGCACCCACACGGCAGATAACAACTGTCAGTAACTCCAGTTCCAGGGGCTCCAACACTCTCTTCTGACCTCCATGGGCATTACACAACATGGGTGCACTCACATACATACAGGCAATATACTGATACACATAAAATAAATATTTTTAAAAAGACAACACACATGGTTCTCCTCTAGCTCCTGAATCTTTATATTTGAAGTATCAATCACCGTACTTTGTTTCTGAGATAAGTTCTCTATAGCCCCAGTTGGTCTAGAACTATGTAGACCATCCTGCCTTGATCTCAGAGATCTGCCTGCCTCTGCCTCCTGGGTTGGAGAGATGGCTCAGCAGGTAAAGGTGCTTGCCACCAAGACTTATAACCTGAGTTATGTCCCCAGATCCTATATGGTGGAAGAAGAAAACCAACTCCTGCAAGTTGTCCTCTGATTTCCATGAGTGTGCATATGCACATGCACTCACACACATAAATGTGATAAAAAATTAAAAGGCAAGTTTTTACTTTATTCAAGGAAAAGACTGTAAATGATGAGGGTTGTTTCCATTCCTGTTCTTCCCAATTCCAGCCTTAACTATCCAGTATTTTAGAAGCTAGAATGGACACTTTCAGCCTGGACCTGGAGCCACAAATCCTGTCGTACACAAGTGGCTCTTCCAGAGTGTTTCCATCAGAGCCTCCAAAAGACAAATGTGGTGGTCAAGTGCTGTAATTCCACCTTAATACTGCTAGGTCCCAAGAAGGTCATAGACCCAGTCCAAAGGCTCACAAAGTGCCAAGGGCTCTACTGTGACTAGGAATGCAGAGTGGTAGAGCTACTTGGAAGGCAGCATGATAGGGTTTTTGGATTTTTGAGATGGGGTCTCACTATGTAGCCTTGAATTCAAGAGCCTCCTAAGTGATGGAATTACAGGTGTGTGCCAACATGCCCAGTAAGCAGTTTCCTATGAAACTTTTACTATCTAATACAGCAACTGTACTTCTTGGCATTTATCTAAATGAGTTAAAACATGTTCATACATGAACTTGCACATAGATGCTTATGACAGCTTTATTTATAATTGTTAAAACTTGGAAGCAAGTTTTACTTTACTTATTTTAATGAGTAGTTAAAAAGTCACCCCCAGATGGGACTAAAGAGAAATGAACTATGAAGCCATGCAAAGTTACGAAGGACCTTTAAGTGCCTGTTGCTGTATGAAAGAAGCTTGCTTGAATTCCAACCCTACAGCATGCTGGAAGAAGCCAAACTACAACAACAGAGGAAAGATCAGAGGCTGGCAGAGGTTTTGCAAAGAACAGGCTGAGCACAGGTGATGTTTGGAGCAGCCAAAGAATTCTGTATGATTCGGCAATGGGTGGGTGATTGCACACATTTGTTAAAACCTTGCAACACACAACACCAAGCCTGACCCTGAATAGAAATTCTGGGCTTTAGTTAACAACAACTGCAGCACTGGCTATCAATCATATAACACATACACCACAGGTAAAACAGTGTTGATATGGGAAGCTGCAGGGTGGGAAGCAGTGAAAAGTTATATGGGAGCTTTCTCTACTTTCCATCCATTTTTTTTCCATAAACTTAAAACAAATGGTCTATTTGTGTTTGTTTGTTTTATTTTATGTGTATGGGTGTATTGCCTGCATGTGTGTAAGTGCATCCATGTCGTGCAATGCCCATGGAGGTCAGAAGAAGGCATCAGATCCCCTAGAACAGGAGTTACAGATAGTTGTTAACTGCCATGTTGGTGCTGGGAATTGAACCTGGGTCCTCTGTAAGAGCAGTCAGTGCTCTTAGCCACTGAGCTCTCTTTCTGGCCCCACAAATGGTCTTTTTAAAAAGTATTTTTAAGCCAGGTGTGGTGGTGCATGCCTTTAATCCCAGCAATTGGGAGGCAGAGGCAGGTGGATCTCTGTGAGTTCAAGGCCAGCCTGGTCTACATAGTGAGTTCCAGGACAGCTGGGGCTACAGGGAGACCCTGTATCAAAAAGACCAAAAAAAGAAAAAAAAATATTTTTAAAGAAAATCCAAGGAACAAAGGGAAGAGTGATAAGAGGCCTCTGAGCATGTGCAGGCACCTGCAGGCTGACTTACATCTTCTGTATCTCTCTCATAGGAAAATGCACTTAGCCTGGAAAAACTTTTTTTCCCTCCAAATTCTTTATTATGCACCATCTTATTTAACACATGAGGCAGTGCTGCCCAATGATGTCCAAGAAGCAGCCTCTTAGACAAAGACCAGAACACACAGTTGTTTATTGGGGTGCACCTTGGGCTTAGCATCCACAGAAAGGAAGGAAAGGAAGAAAGGTTGGCTAGAGGGAGCTGAGCTATAATGCAAGCCCATCAACAGCCTTGGCCATGGAGTCAAATCCATCTGAACTGCCCTCTGATGGACCAAAGTGAGCAGGTATTTGCACCTCCTCCCACCTTAGTCAGGAAGAGAGGCCTCCGAGGGCAGAGTAAAGATTAGAAAGAGGTTGCTCTGTAGCTGAGGCAATCCTCACACTCTCCATAGCTGGGGCATCTGACAACACAGATGATTTCCCCATAAGTAGCTGAGGAAGGTGCTTGAAGTAATAAAGATTTCTTTCTGGGTTCAGTAGAAAGATGTGCTGAGGTGGATCTCAGGTGATCAGGTCCTCTAATAATGTCATACAAAGTCAAGAAATAAATATTTCCTCAAAATAATTGTGAAATATGACAAGAGGCAACCCTCCTACTGAGTTCAAATAGATTAAGGATATGTCATTGCCCTAAAATCTCTCGTGTAGCTTCACAACAGTGTAAAATCATTACTTTGTCAAAGTTTTATAAGCATTCATTAATCAAGAGTAACATTCAAGTTAGGGAGCATCAGTTTGTGGCCAATAATGAATTTGATTCTTCACAATCAATTTGAGGTGTCAGAAGACAGGATGGTGGCCACCCCGGGTAGTCAGAATGGCAGTCACCAGAGGCAGCAGCACATAGGGTTTAGAAGCAGAGGAAAGGCTGTTTTCGACCTTGGTACTGACTGCACAGGTGTACACACCATCAATTTGTATGCTTTTCTATAGGCTTGTCACAGTGCAATTAAAAAATACAAAACAATTAATTGCTTGCTAAAGGTAAGAAAACTCATTTTCTTATTTCTCAATCTCATTTCTAGAAGGGGCTTATAAAATACCATACAGGCAACAGAAAAATTTGCACCACTGATATTTCTACTCTTCTATAGGGTTCTATAGGGTAAACCACTTAAGAAAGCAATGCTCAAGGCTAGAGAGAAGACTCAGTGGTTAAGAGCACTTGCTGCTCTTGCAGAGGACATGGATTTGATTCCCAGCACCAGAATGATTCACAATGGCCTGTAACTCTAGTTCCAGGGAACCAATGCCCTCTTCTGACCTCCAAGGGCACCAGACACATACTTGGACACATACATGCATGCAGGCAAAACACTCAAAATATATAAAACAAAAAGAAATCTTATTTTTTTAAAATGCTCATTACTACACTTGGCATTAATTAAACCATTCTCTAATGAGATATTCTCATTTCTATTAGAATCAGACTGAGGTTCTTTTTCTTCTTTTTTTCAGCAAGCACCCTTACCCACTGAGCTATCTCCCCAGCCCCTAAACTCTAATTTTCGTAATCAGATTTACTAATCTTTTCCTTGGGAACTTCTGGATTTTGTGCTATATATTTTTTTAAACTGATTTTTTGTGTGTGTATTTCATACAGAACATCCCAAACAATCTTATTCATCTTTATACCCACATCCCAAATGGCATCCTCCCATAGGCTCCCCGCCACCCCCCACTGGAGCCCATATACTCTGTCATCCCTGTTACTGCCCACTGTGTTGTCAGTGGATCAGCCTTTTCGTGAGTTTGAGAGCATTCTTCCTACTGAAGATGACCTATGTGACTTAAGGCCCCTGAGAGCAGAGGGGAGCATGAGAAGAGAGGACACCCCTGTCGTGTCTTCATCGAAAATGAAGTACACACTTCAAGCAGCTTGTAAATAAAAGGTAGTGCTATGGTGTCCTGAGTTCTTCTAGGAGTGGAAAGGGTAATACACTCACATTCCCGTCTGCCACCAAGTCTGCTGAGGATCCCAATCTGCCATTATCTCCAGTACTGTTTACACAGTTACTAAGCTTTCCTTTCCAAAAACACTGAATATGGGATATATGCTTTAATGATGATTTAAGTCACTGTGTATCATTAATTTCAATAGTAATTACACCTGTCTTAAATTTGTGTTGGGAGAGTTTTTCAGAAACAACCCTCCAAGAAAGATTGTGCCACTTTTTTTTTTTTTAATGATCTTTTTCAACTGTCTGATTTTTCAAATACATTAGTAGAGATTGCTAGACCCATCACTGGTTGGTGACTGGGTTTATGAAATGTTTCAGAAAAATCAAGAAAATCATTCAATAAGACCATCAATATTCCATCAGAAAATACCAAATTTGTATCTTTCAAAATGAGTTACGCTTGCAATGACGCAGGGTTTAAGGATGAGCTGGGGTTTCTGAGCCAGTGAACAATATAACTGTTGTTTTGCTTCAGAGCAATCAAAAAACTAGAGATGTGCAGCACCACACACTGCGTCCTGGGATATCAGCTGAATGCTTTTTTTCTTCAAGTGTATTCATGGAGGAAGAGAAACTCAGAATTGTATCCAGAGACTCCTCACTGCTTCATGAGAATATTCTGCAAACTGCCCATACTGAGTCATCACACTGTTTTAGGGAAGGCTACATGGTGCTGTCTATATCAAGTAAAAACCCAAATCAAGGAAGGGAGGGGCATCTTCCTTGCTTGGCAAGAAGATGCTCCCCTGAGTACCTAGTAGCGCCACACTGTAAGTGAGCTGGCACTGATGGCCTTGGCTTGTGCAAGTGCATTAACAATCAAAGTAGTGGGTCTCAAGTGAATTCAGAAAACAAAACATACAAGCGATTGAAAATGGTGAAAATAAGCTGGGCATGGTGGCGCACGCCTTTAATCCCAGCACTCGGGAGGCAGAGGCAGGTGGATCTCTGTGGGTTCCAGGCCAGTCTGTTCTACATAGTCAGTTCCAGGCCAGCTGGGGCTCCAGGGAGACCCTGTATCAAAAAAGATAAAAAAAACAAAAAACCCCAAAAAATAAAAAAAAAAACCTTTAGGCTATTTGTGAAATTAAAACAACAAAAAAAGCCTTCCTATTTTTTTCTTCAGATGTATGCCAGTGCTACTGCAGAAGAATGGGAATGAGAGAACCAAAGGTTAGAAAGAAAAGTAGGGTCTCCTCATTGTTTCCCCAGAGAGGGGAGATCAAAGCACACCATTACTAGCCTTGTGTGGTTTAATCACCCCTTATCTGGAGAGCTCAACAAGTCACTAGAGCACCTTCTCCCAAAAAAGATGCATTAAGTCTTTGTCCTGATGTGTTTGTCTTATTTGGAAAGTGCCAGAAAACCATAGAATGTGGCTAAAGCAGACATGAAATTTGTGGTAAGCTCATAGGAGACTCATGACAAGCAGCCTACAGGCATGCCAGCACATATGACCTGGCTTCCCCAGATACTCAGCAGTTCCATGCAGAAGAGTGCAGATTCCCAGGTTTGACGCAGACAGCCAATGATCATGGCTTTTGTTTGGGGTGGGGTTTTTTTGTTTTGATTTTTGAGTTTCAATGTATTGTATAGCTCTAAGTATACAACATGACCTAAATTTAAATTTTATTTTCAAAAAAGGAGGACAATTATGTTCAAACCCATGCACAAATAAATCTTGCGAGTCCCATACCTGGGACTCATCCTGAGTGAGAAGAAGCAGGCAGAGGATCCCTGGGAGCAAAGGGGAGCATGTGGACCCACATCCAGGTCTGTCTCCCAGGCTGGAGTTCTTTTCACTTTATAATCTTTTCTCTTAGACTAATGTACTTTGCACAGGCAGGTGGCCCTGTTTTCCCCACCTGGACCTGCAGCTCCAATCTGGCCCCTCTAGGTAACCCTTGAACCTAAACCCAATAAGGGCTCAAGGACGCAGCAGTGACCCTGCCTCACTATGCTGTACACAGGACATTCCATGAGGGGCTGCATGGTTTGCTTTCCTGCTGGAAGCTTTCTGGTATAGTGTACCTGAACTTCCTCAAAAATAGTTGCCTGCTCCTGATTGGTCAGTGTTGTCAGGTGCTTCTGGAGTTCTAACTTGGTTTTTGAAGAATTCATTCCTGTTAAGAAAAGAGAAAAAGGCTTGACGAAACAATGTAAAAGTTCTGAGGCATACATCCGAAGAGAAGTCCGAGAATGAAAGCATTTGCTAATCCAACTGCCAAAGCATAAAAACCTACTGGTTCCTTCTACCAGCCCAGTCTTCCCATTCTAAGCGGAAGTCCTAAGCCTATAGTCTGAGCAGAAGTATACAAACTTCCATGACTGCAAAGGGCTAGAGAGAACCCTGCCAAGACAGGGACTTGTCTGTAGGGACTCAGAAAACATATCCCTTACTTTACAGTTGAACCTGCTGATGTCCATAGAAGCTTGGCAATTCATCAGCGGCCAGGAGGCCCATTGGCAGCCAGTGTGCCCCAGAGCCAGTGCTCCTCCTTCTTCTTTCAGCTGGAGGCCAACCCCACCCTCCATAACAAGCTGTACCGGATAGAGGGTACTGCACCCACACAAACTACCACAGTCATCTCTAATTCTAGAACGTTCTTGCTCCTTGTTTTGTTTTAACCCAAGATGACTCTAAAGGGCTACCCTAAAAATAGTATTTTTCAAGTGACTGTTTGGCCATTCAGTCCCTATTTCATGTTTAAGTCTCAGGGTAATTGCTGAGTAGGCACAATTTTTTTTTTTAAGTAATTTCAATGTCTAGGTAAGAAACTGAGACACATTGAAGTCAAGTATCTTGTCTAATATCATTTACCAAGTAACAAGGAGACTTAGAATCAAAACCCAATGTGTCTGCCTCCAAAACCAGATTCCCATGGTCCCTTTGACCAGCAGAGCCAAATGGCCTGCAGTCAACACCAGTGGCTACAGTACAAAAATGAATTCAGAGGTGGGGTGAGGTGTAGAAAGGGCTTGTCAAGGTGAGTTCATGCACTGGTCCTGACAACTGTTGGGTCATTCAAAGCTAAGAAGGTGGACATGAGGCTTTCTGCGGCTACTACAACACTGAAGCAAAATACTGGTCAGATTTATAAATAATATATGTATTCAGTAATCACTAATTCGAAGTCTTCCCCAAATGAGGACACTGTCCTGGATGCCATCTAAACATACTTTGGAGATAACAGTATTGTTCCTAAGTGGGGAAAAACCCCTAAGCTCTGAAGAAAGTCAGACTAGAAGAGTTAGACCTCAAATTTCGGAACTTCAGATGAAAGCATAAGCCTCAGCCTCTTCTTCGTATGATGGAGGGGTCCTCTAGCCAAACCCAGCCTGAGAACATCAGGTCCTTCCTGTCCCCCGAAAACTTTCCACATGGCTCCTCACCACCTTCAGCCACTCCTGCGCCCATGCTGGGGGACATCTCCAGAGTCTGAATTGGAGGCAGAGAGAATGGGAGGCAGGGGACAAGATGGAAAGTGTGACCTGAACCAGGGATTCCCACTGTTAGTGAGCCCTCATGCTGTTGGTGGGGGAACGATCTTACTAGAGAGCTGAGGAATTGGCTCTGCTCTGCTCTAGGAGATCTGAGAATAAAAGAAAACCTCGACTCAACCTTTTCTTCAGAGAGAAAAATTAATTTTAATAATCTCCAAAATACTCTGCTAAACTTTAAAATAAGCAGAGTACTGTTCAAACACCAAGGCATTTGAACAGCTACATAGTCAAGTGCAGAACTGAGAGCAGTTCTTTCAGTTACCCAAGCAGATTGAATGCAGGGCGTCTGGTGTAACCAATTAGACAGTCTTGGGCATAACCCAACTGTATCAATTTATTGAGAAAACATTCCGTAAGTCTTCTTGTGGCCCTGTCACTGGTCCTTTCTATAGTCTGTGGAGTTCTTAGACCACAACTTCCTGCTACAACTATTTTTTGGGGTAGTACTGGGGATCAAACCTAGGGTGCCATGCAGGCAAAGCAAGCACTCTTCTACTGAGCTACATACAGCCTTAGCCCAATAGTTTTGGATTTGGAGCCTTTTAGATTTTAAGAGTAAGGATGCTAAATCAGTAATGACAAGATGCTTTGTGTGTGTGTGTGTGTGTGTGTGTGTGAGAGAGAGAGAGAGAGAGAGAGAGAGAGAGAGAGAGAGAGAGAGAGAGAGAGAGAGAGAGAGAGAGAGAGTGTGTTGCTGGGGATTGAATCTGGGACCTCATGCATGCTAGGTCAGTGCTCTACCATTAAGTAACATCCCCAGGCAGGATTACCTTTACAAGGGTTTATACAGGGAATATACAATGGGTTTCAATAAACCACTTATTACAATTGCAACACCAAAAAAAAAAAAAAATCAAAGGACCCCAAATCGCCCATAAAGTCTTCTCTGCCAGGGATGCCTGCACAATCTACTCCCTTATGGCTGTGCTTAATGGTTGCTTTTTACATCCATATAGTTTTCTGCCACAGTTGGATTGTATCATGTAAAAGATGAACTGAATGATTATTCCCAAAACTACAACAGCAAAATCCTGAACCTGATTAAACTTTTCAGCTATAACTTTCTGGAAGCTCAGCCAGACCAAACATAGATTTATCAAGTGGAACTCTGGAAGCAATCCACCTGTGTGGACCACGATCTGCTTATCTACAAGGCCAAAGTTGTTGCTAGCTTCTTAATAAGGTCTCGGGGGACATTTCCATCACCGTTTATCTTATCTTGACAGCCATGACGGAAAGAGTTAGTGATCCTCTCAGTTGGGGTCTCTAGTTAAAGCAAAACTCCCATTCCCAGATATATTTTGTATACTGTCAGCAAATAGCAACAACATGGAAAATAGTTTGAAATATTAATCATGCTCATTTCAAAAGCACTGTAATGCCACAGGTGAACCTTCCCAGACCTTAAGATATCAGCTGTTAACTTCTCTCATTTTAAAAAATAAACCAGGACCATTTCACATCTATTAGAATGACCATCATGGTTAAAAAAAAAAAACAAAAAAAAAACATGAATAAATAAGTTTTGATAAGGATGCAGAGAAATTAGAATCCATGTACATTGTCAGTATAATTTCATAGAGTAGCATAGTGGCTCCTTTAAAAAAAATTATCAACAGCCTTGGACCTTAGCCACTTCCTGCTGAGGATGCAGAAGAGCAACTACCTGGGACGAGTGTACCCGTCACCACTCACCAAAGAAGTTTCTTTTTGCAACAGATGGAAATTAATATGGAGTTCCACAACTGGTCAAGCACAGAGAATAAGAGTCCGTGAGATGCTTAGCTCTAAGAGATGCATCTTCAATGCAACCTCTACATGTAAGAAGAATGCATCTCTTAATTCTCACTAGAGAGATTTCCTCATACAGCAGACAGTGATTAATACAGAAACCTACAACTGGTCAATGTACAGAGAACAAGAGGCTGCAGACTGCAGAAGGGAGAATGCTCCGCCCATAACAGAACACCTATTTTTTAAAAAAAATATGTATTAGTTTTATTTTGTGTGTATGCATGTATTGCCTACATATAGGTAAGTGCATTCATATCCTGCAATGCCCACAGAAGACAGAAGAGGTTGTCAGATTCCTTGGAACTGGAGTTAAGGACAGTTGTTAGCTGCTGTGTGGGTGCTGGGATTCGAACCCAGGTCTTCTGCAAGAACAGCTGGTGTTCTTATCCACTGAGTCATCTCTCCAGTCCCAGGACACCTATTTCAAACTTCTGCTTTCCAAGGTTCAGGGATCACCCCTCTTTTGAGAGAGGGGTGGAAAGATTGTAAGAGTCAGAAATGGTGGAGGACTACAAGGAAACAGTTTTCCCGAAAGCTAGTCAGCTACACATATAAACTTACAGCAATGGTGACAGCATGCACAAGTCCCATGCAAGCTCGAATTAGACAAAATACCAGCAGTGACGTGAGGACGTGGGTAAGAAATTCCAACCCAACCTAAGGAACTTTTTGGCAATTGATGATTGCTGGGATGGGGAGAGACAGTAGCTTTTTAGGGACAGGATTCTCGGTAGGCTGACCAGGCTGTATGAGGCCACGCTGAGGAACATGTGGGGACACAAATAAGACTACAGAGACCCTATTGTGTATATAGTGGGGTATACCGAGTTGGGCAGGAAAGCAATGGGGGGGTGCAGGTGGGGGAAGGATTCTACATATTATCAAATTATATTGTATAAAATCAAAAAATTTCAATAAAATTTTTTTAGTTAAACACACAATTACATATATCTTCCTTCTGGGTATATCCAAAGGAACTGAAAGCAAAAACTTTAACAAATGTTTGTATACTAATATTCATAACAATATTATTTGCAGTAGCCAAAAGGTAAAAACAATCCAAATACCCAAGCATGAATAAATAGATGCATTTAATGGAATATTATTCGGCCTTACAAAGAAATAAAATTCTGACACATGGAAGAAAGCCCAAAAGACATAATATAAGTAAAAGAAACCAGAAACAAGACAAATCTGATTCTATTTATGTAAAGTACCTAGATTAATTCAATTCATAGAAATACAAAATAGGGGTTGAGGAGATAGCTCAGTTTAAGACTGCTTGGTGTGTAAGTTTGAAGACCTAAATTCAAAGCCAGGCATGCCTGTAAATCCAGCACTGGGGCTTGGAGACAAGTGGATTCCCAGTGCTCACCAGCCAGGCTAGCCAAAGCAACAAGTGTCTGGTTCAGGAAGAGATCCTGTCTCAAGGCAATAAGCCAGAGAGCAAGAGAGACACCACCTTTCTGTTCTGGCCTCTGCATGCATCTGCATGGCTGTGCATGCACTCATGTGCCACAGATAGCGCATACACACACACACACACACACACACACACACACACACACACACACACACACACACACACGAGCATACTTAATGAGTTGTAATTAAGGAAGATGAGAAAGTCCTGGAGATGGATGCTAGTGATGAGTTACCACTGTAAACAGACTTAATGCCACTGAATTATATGCTTTTTAAAAGGGGGTTAAAATGATAAATTTTGTGTTTGGTGTATTTTTTCCACAGTTATTTGGAAAAAAAAAATCTAAATGTCAGTGTACTTTTCCTTTAAATGTAGTTTATAACAAGTACTCTAGATACACAGGAAATGATCAGGTCTTTATTTTTACAATAACATGGGTAATTTGAATGATATAACATTCGCCAAATCACACACAAAAATGTTTAGAATAAGTGGAACAAAGTACAAAATCAAGTTAAGAGAAAACATAAATCTCTTACTTTCCAGCTTCTCCCAAATAAGCAGCCAAACCACACACTACTGCCGCAACCTCAGCCCTCCCTGCCGACCCAGAGTCAGACTGTTCTTGTCAGTAGAATATTCTTTACTCTTTCTCAAGGGGGATCCTTCCACTCTGGGGAGATGGGGCTGGTTGTGGTTAACAGCAAGGCTTTAGCACTTGGGGCCGGGTCCTACGCTCACTAGACACCAGTTTATTCCTACATGTCTCAGATTTTCAATTTATTTGTCAGTAAAATGTACAAATAATCCATTCTCTTCCCACCAGCATGGTGAAGATTAAATATATGTTTTTTAAAAGCACTTAACACAGTGCTTGGCCTTTCTTAATAGCCAATAAATACTAAAGGCAAATGAAACATTTTATTACACCTGTCTAGAAATTGTGATCAATCAGGTCACCACTTCTTTTATCCTATACCCTTCAGTTTTTGACTGTACCCTGTCTTCTGCTCCCCTCCATTGGAACTGTCCTGGCAGAAATTACAGGTGACCGCATGGTGAAAATTCTTTAGGTCCTACTCCCTGGGATGGTCAATCTGAATGAACCACCACCTCACACATCTCAATAAATGTTGGCAACCTGTGCTCACTAAGTCCTCCACTGCCCTCAGAGTACCATGGAAGGGAGATAGCTTAAAGGGATATGGGTCCTTATTTTTGCATCCATCACACTCAGTACTATGCCTGACATGTAGAAGATATCCACTGCAGAGTGCGAGTTACCTATAATCCCTGTGAATGACAATCCCAACAGTTGGAATAATGCAATAAATGCTCCCATGTAAGGCTCTCCCTCTAAGATGTCTATGGCCTGAAAGTGCCTCCTACTCACCCTCTATCCTCTCACAGAGCTTGTGCAGGCCCTGCAAGGGGCAGCCTTCACATAGCTGGGCTGGTGCCTTAGCCGTCTGATGCACTGCAGCTACTGTGAAAGCCTGCTTCAGAGTCATCATGATCTCATCAACCTGAGCAGAAGAGAGCAAAACCGTCAAGGTCAGGGCTGAGGTCAGCAAGTTTATAGAAAAGATTTAGTATTTTAAGACTTTTCTGGGCTATTCTTCACAGGCTGACAGGAAATAGTTGTGATAACTGCAGGATTATGGGCTGAGAAATACTACCAACAAATTCAGCACTCTTTTTTTAATGTTTTATTTCTTTTTCTTAATATTTTATTACTTTTATTTTATGTGTATAAGTAAGTATATTGCCTGCATGTACATAAATGCACCCATGTCATGCAATGCCTGCAGAAGTCAGAAGAAGGTAGCAGATCCACTGGAACTGGAGTTATAGATGGTTGTTAGCTGGGATTTAAATCCAGGTCCTGTGCAAGAGCAATCAATTCTCTTTTTTTTTTAATTTTATTTATTATTTTTATTTTATGTGTATGCGTGTATTGCCTGCACGTAGGTAAGTGCACCCCTGTTGTGCAATGCCTGTGGAGGACAGAAGAGGGTGTTGGATCCCCTGGAACTGGAGTTAAGGGCAGTTG